GGCTGGAAGGAAGGAGGCGCCGAAGACGGAAGGGGACCGGTTCGCGAAGCGGAGTGTGGGCCGCGGGAGGCCCAGCAGGGACCGTGCCGGGCGGCGGCCGAGTCTGAGGTGGGGCGGGGGGATCGAAGTTGTCAGACCTCCTCCAAGTGACAGCAGGACCCCGTGCCCGCAGCCCGGCCTGCTCTCGCCCTGCAGGCTCTGTCACCGCTCCTCGGGGGCCGGGGGCCGGGTGAGGTCTACCCGAACGGCCCTCTCGGCGGTGAAGCGCCGGACAAAGGCGGCGCTGGAACGGACGCAGGTGGTGGCGTCCGGGAGGGGAGCGAGTTCGAGCCACCCACCCCGAGGGGCGGGTGACGGGCCCGGACTCTGCCCCGGGGACTGCGGGGGCCGAGGCTCCCTCCGGGAGGAGCTGCGGCACTGGCTCACGGCTCCATCCACTGTTCGCCTTGCTGTTCTAGAAAGAGTGGGGTCGACCCGGCCAAGGCCGAGGGGCAGGGGTGATGGTGTGAGCGCGGTGGGTCCCGACCGGTGGTGGTGAGCTTATGAGATTCGGAGAGACGCTGCTCGAGAGCCTGCCTGCTGCATTGGGAGAGTTTTCTATCATCCGAGTATGCCTAGGACAGAGGTGTTTCCCTGCCTGGGACATCCCGTCTCCCACCGTGAGCAGTCTTATGAGTGCAGAAAATGAGCTGGATTGGGCCTAGGGACACTTCTCAGATGTGCTTCAGCCATCCGTTCACAGCTGCCTTCAGCACTTCTCTTTAGCCAAGGGAGGGATCCACTAGGATCATGGAAAGCTGAGTTTAGAAACCCAAACAGGAATTCAGTGATTACAAAAAGATTTCCCAGGCCTTTTCCTTTGTGTTACCTGAGAGATTTCCTTTCCCCTCATTTCCATGTTTTACCTCCACAAGGGACCACATGTTCTGGAAGGACACCACTGTCCTTGGCCAGCTGGAAGACACTTAACAATCTCTACCTTAAGTTGTAAATGTCTCCAACCCTGCCAGTGCCCAGCTCTAAGATGGCTACTGTTTTCCCATTTGTGAAAACGCATGCACTCAGAATTGCTGTATCCCCTCATGTGACTTAACACCTAATGGAACAGTTGGGACCAAGACAGGGAAACTCAGGCTGTTTAGAACGCGGACTTTGGTTGAGAATCCGGGTTCAAGTACCATCTTCGAGTACCGTCTCCCACCTGTGGTTAACTGTAATTCCACCCTGGGAAAGCGGCTTGTCAGCTTTGCAAAGGGGCTATGTGGCCCTGGAGTTAATCCATGGCCACCCCTTTCCTCTGGAGGGTCTAGATCTCAGCCTGGGTGGAGTTGAGGCTTGTGAGGAAGGGAGGTATTATCTCACGCTTGAGACTAAAGTTTGTTCTCAGAGAATTTAATTGCATGTCTAAGATCCAGAGAACTCCTAGACTCCCAAGGCCCTGGTGCCTCCTGTGGGGTTACAAGATACATGATTTCAGAGCAGCCACTTCTTTGGGTGACCACCAGAAGGACCTCCAGCATCTGCAGTCTTTGACAGGCCCTTACCTGCCAGGGGACTCACAGCAGTCAGAGCACGTGTTAGGAAGGTTTGCTGCAGAGAGTGTAGCTAGTGATACATTTCTCTCTTTTTGGTACCCACCTTTGTTCCCTGTCTCTTGCTGCTCCTTATGTCAGGCCTGCGTTCTTACAACCTCCCTTTTCTGTCCACTTCCTTGAGCCATTTTGATTCGGCCTGTATGGCATACTGTTCTTCCTAAAGCACCTCATCCACAAAGGCACACCCCTCCTCACAGACTTGCAATAGCTCCCCTTTCCTTGAAGGGTTAGGCTGGCATTCAAGACCCTCCGCACTCTGACCATAGACAGGGGCTCCCTAAGGCCCTCCCTTTGCCATGCCCCACACATTTCTCTTTCTGCGTCTTTATTCCCCTCAAGAGGAGTCCTTTGCCTCCTTCTCCTCCCCCCTGAATCCTGCTTGCCTTTCAGAGCCCAGGCTTTAGCACAGTTGTAGCTCAGGCCACTCCAGGCTCGTGTCCTCTGGCTCTGAGCCTTTGACCCTGGATTATAGGGCATAGTGATCATCTTTTGACGAGGTCTGTAGGTCAAAAGTTTTCTGAAAGACAAGGGCAGTATGAGTGCCAAGCTCTTTTTTGTTGGATATTCCAGTATCCCTCTCATGCAGGGCACGTGATTTTTGTTGAATGAATAAGTGCAGTTGGCTGCAGAGTTGGGGTGGGAACCTAGGAGAGCCTCCCCTCAGCACGGTACTGTGTGGAGTCCTTGGAGTTCCCGGCCTTTTCTATCAAAGGCAGATTATGGAGAGAGCATAAAGGTGTTCTCACTCAGAGGGGTCGCAGTGGGGGTGGGGTGAAGAATCTTCACTGCGATTCCGGCTGGTGGGGTCCCGCCCTGTGGATTACTCATAGGACACCATATAGACAACATGGATGGGGAAAGGCCTGTGATTCTGTTTTCCTTCTCCTCCACCAGTCCCTTCTCTCCACCCGACTTTGCTGCTCTTGTGCAATTTTCCTGGTTGTCCATGCTAAATGAATCCATATGTTTTTATCTCTTCTCATTCCGGGGTGTAAATGAGGAGGGAGAAAGCACAGTCCTGAGAATGGAAGAAGCCTGGCCTTGTGGATGGGGCTTCCGGAGCTGGTACTCGAGGAGGGTGCTAACGTGGTGGGGCATCCCTGACGTGTGAGGCCCTAATCAGCCCCACACTGGACCCAGTGGAAAGAAATGCTGGGAGTCCAGCACCCGCAGAACTTCTGTTTTTTGTTTACCTGCAACCCTGGACCATGCGGGGAATGGGAGCGAGAACTGGTGCCTGGTTTGCAGCAGTGAAAAAGAATGCATCCACCCCATTTCCCCCAAACCTCCCTTTTGTGCCCCAGTTTGATGATTAATGGACCAGCATTTCCCTTGTAAGTGGGA